AATACAGTAGAACCTCGATTATCCGCCCTAATTGGGGACTGGGGTTGGTCGGATAATTGAAAAGTCGGATAACCGAAAAGTATGAAAAAATCCATTATTAGTGTAGTATATTATTATATCCCATGTAATTAGTATATTAGTGTATTGCTATTAACCTACTTCACATTGAATTTTCCTCCATGTTAAGCCTATCAAATTTTTTTTTAAAAATAATAATCGTCGCTATTGTATCGTTAAAAATTAGAAAATTAAGCCGCGTTTAAATACTGACTCCCTTTCATGATCAAATGAGTGTAGCCAGCTAAAACACGTAAAAATAATATTAAAGTATCCAAGACATAGCCAAATATTGTAACGCCACATCACTAGCGGACATTTGAAATTTTCCGAATAGGATGGTCGGTTAACCGAGGTGGTGGTTAATCGGGGGTCGGATAATCGAGGCTCTACTGTAATTATGTTCAACAATTATTTGTTATCTTAATATATTTTTTAAATCTGTTATTGAATTCATAACTTTTTTAAGTAACAAACAAAAGTTAATATTAAAATCACAAGTAATATTTACAAATGAATTTATAGGGTAAGTCAGGAGGAGAAGTAAATATTTTGGAGAATGACAGTATAGATTATTGTAGGTAAAAAAATTTTATAAGAATGCAGGTATTATTATCAGTAGTTTCAGAGATATAGTTGTATGAAAGTTGCTCACATAAAATAATAATGAATGATAAATGTGTTACATTCAAAACAAATATTCAAAAATCATATGCTGAAATCAATACATTTTACTATGCTGTAACAAGACTTAAATTTTGTCTGAGTTATGTGGTAGTCATCACTACTAACTCAGATAAATGACATTTGATGTTTGGACATGAGTTGTAAAGTGTATTGAAGTTCAGGATTCAATTTTTGAACATTTGTTTTAAATGTAACATATCATTTATTATTGTCGTCGTACATGAGCAGCTTTTCATATAGCAGTACCTCCAAAACAACTGAGAATAATACCCATATTCACATAAAATATTTTGCTTACAATGATCTATACAAGGGGTGGGCAAGCAAGAGGTCAGTGGGAGCTGAAATGTAGGTTTTGCAAAATGCATGGGAACCACAGCTCTGTACTTTTTTATTCTGTACTGCAGTTCTGTACTGTGATTTTATTATATAATATAAATATTATATAAAACAAATATTGAATTTTTTTAATAAACATATTTTCACAAAATTGTGGAAATNGAAATTATTATTAGAAAGTTGAAAACATTAAAAACATTGAAGCAAGAAGATAAAACATTATTAAATTTTTACTTACTGGTTTCAGTCTCTTTATGGCAACAGGAATTTTCCATAATTCTCCCTTATATACTATGCCAAATCCTCCTTGACCTAAAATTTTCTCTGAACTAAAATTATTTGTAGATTTTACAATATCAATATATGATACTTGCTTAATAGAAATTGAAGGAAGGGCTTCTTCTAAAGAACTGAATTCACTGGCTGCAGCTGTTTAAAAAATCAAATTTTATATCTGAAAAAATTAATCTGAACATATTCATATACAGTATATATATTAGTAATTTTTACTACAAATGTGATCAGTAAGTATAAATATTCAAAATATATCAAATATATATTTGATTAATATTGAATTTCACTGTTAATATATAACTTTTTTTATATTACATTTTTATTATTATTATTATTTATTGAACTTAAAATAAATCTCAAACAAGTGGCCTTTCAGTGGCCAAATAGATAAAACCACTAAATACTGGAGGCTGGTCACAGTTCATGCCCCAGTTTCTTATAAAAGTTCTCCCAGAAGGATTTCTTTTCTCTATTGGCAGATTTCCCACATATTGCATTGCCATAATTTACCAATGCAAACTTATCTTTAATAATAAACACTTGAAGATGTAATTGAAATAAATAAGACATTATATACTAACTGATTTAAAATAAAACAGATCATTTCAAATTTTAAATATAACTGTAAAAATACATGTTATAAATAATAAAAATACTCATGTAAATTAGTTTTTATAGCAACAAATGTTTAAATTACAACCCACAAACATTTAGTTGAATATGAAAAATCTAAATGGTGGTTAAACATGCTTTAATTAAGTGATGGCACGAGAGTATTTGTAATTATCCACTCTATATGGTTCAAAACATTGAATACAGTAGAACCTCGAAAACTCTGCTCTCGATAACCCAGCACTCCGGATAACTCGGCCACACCCTGGCAGGGCAAAAAAATCCTTAGTTAATTAATTTTCATTATAGACAGCTTTATAAAAGTATAAAAGCTCTCATAAAGTATTTTTCTGAGGTCTGTCTTATCAGGTAAATTACTGTACACAGTGTATTCATTAATTTTCATTTTCGTGTAGTAAAGGCTCTGTGCCTTCATAAAGGACGTACTTTTCCTTTGTTTAAGGGTATTTGGGCAGTTTATTCTCCGTTATATTCTCAAGTAAACAATACATACAAGTACAGTACAGTATTTTCTGAGGAAACACTCGTACTTATTTTTTTTAACCCCATTCCCGATAACCCGGCATTTTCACAAACTCGGCCACCCTTCAGTCCACATTAGGCCAAGTTTGAGGTTCTACTGTATTTAGACTAAATCAGGTGTGTGAATTTAATCATTTAACAATCTATAACTAGATATAGTAAAAACTGTCTATGGTGACCACCCACGGTTCCCTCAAAAAGTGGTCTTTTAGACAGGTGGTCGTCCAATACAGGTGGTCCTGTAATAACATATTTCCATACATATTTTGCGCACTTTTAAGCTATTTCTACTAAAAAGCAAAACCTGAGGTGAGCAAAAATAAGTGAAATTTTTCAACAATAAAGTTATATTGGTATTGTATTTTATTCTTATCAGATAGACCAATTTACAGGAGTCGTCGTGTTATTATAAGACAGATTTAATACCAATATTTTAAAGATTAATACAATACTCGCATTTTTTTGATTATAATGCACACTTTCTTTTTTTGCAACTTAATTAATTCATATAAAACTTCCAAACGATCGCCTGAATAACGGGCTATAATATGGCTACTTAAAATGATTAGAATGTTATTCAGGCGATCGTTTGGAAGTTTTATATGTATACCAATCGGGCTTTATGTTGATGTTAATTAATTCAACTTGGTTCTTTTTGTTCGCTCCACAGTTACATGTATTACTTCATCTATATACAAGCGCATCATATCTCTACATCACTTTGGTTTTGGTATTCATTAGTTTAATCTTATTTTAACTTTAAAAATATTTAATATTTTCTTAAGTACAATAAGAANTGATATTTTTATCACCTAATTTTGTAAGAAGTTCATCTGTTGGACTTTGACGTCTTTGAACTGCTTTCCCGATTAATGCTAAAGTGATTCTATCTACATTCATTTGTGCTCCTGAAAAATACATAAATCATTTCTATATAAAATCATCTCACTGGTATTTGTAAAATTTTTGTTCTTATTCAAATTAAGCATAAGATATAGATTATTGCATACTTAAAAGAGAAAATAAGATGTATATAATTTTAAATAAAATATAATTAGATTCTCTATAAAGACATATATAATCAAAAAATTAGATCAATCTAACAAATTCAGATTCTTAATAGATACTTATCATGGAACAGTATTAAACATTAAGCAGGAATAATGAGTTATGTTTTGTATTTGTAACTCAATTATGATAGTTTTTAATGAACTGGTTAGTAATAAACTAGTTTTTTGTATTAAAAGAAAATAAATGAAGAAAAAATTTATTAGGCAAACTTAAAATCAGAAATCACGAAATCATAATTGTATATTTAGTCAATTTTTATCATAATGTTTTAAATCTACAGCTTTAAAATGATAAAAATTTACCTAAAAAATTATTAAAAAAGGTTCAAACTTAAATTATAAAATATTTTCTGTAATAAAAATTTTTTATAAATACTAATCATTCTGAACCAAACATAAAACGATTCTCTTGCACAACTAGATTAATTAGATACAGCTAAACAGAAAAAATTCATAGATAGAATAACATTCAGTTAATTTGTTCAATTGAAATACAACAGTTGACTTACATATATTTACTTAAAAAATCAAAAGGGTTCAGAGATTACTTACATCCTACTACAGGTCCAAATAACAACTCTCTGCTATGCATATTAATCTGTTTACTAAGCTATACTTATGAAATAAAAATATGCTTCATGTTTTGTTAACAGAAGCTTTTTAATATATTTTGGAGGTAGCTGGATGATGAGAGGATATGCTTGTCAATCCTGTCTCTTAAGCCTAGTGCAAATTAGTCTATATCACAGCAAACTAATTGGAGGTAAAATCTACTCAATCATTAAAAGTTCAACCATCAACTCAACATCATTCTAGTCAAACTCTTCAACAGAAAGTAGGCAGTCCCTCCAACGACTCTCAGATTAAACATGTTTGATTTTTTTGGGCGACGATCTAGAAATGCTCATGCACATTTGAAAGTTTGCAAGAAAGGAAGACAATGTAGGCCACAAACAAGTCTTGCATGTATTTATATTGTGATCTTTGTCTCATTTCAGCAATGGCTTTGCTACACTGGGATTACAAATCGAAGATTTGTTTGGTAAGGTTTCATAGATGTAAATATAATTTCATTAATTTTACTGAAATTATAAAAGTTATGTAAATATAATGGCAAATCCATTGACTATGATTCCCCCTTTTTTCCATTTATTTATTACATTTCTGCCAAACAGGCAACAAATGGAAAAAGCCAAAGCTAACATCAACATATGATAGTTCACAGAAGGGTACATGACATGTTCATTGGTTTTTTATAGCTACATCACGAGTAATGTCACATGGGACAATATCAGCAATTCACTGAAGGAAAACAGTGACATGACTATAAAAATTACCTCTGACATCATATTGAAAGCAACAGCATCAGTTTGTGCTGTGCTTTAAAGCCATAATCTTTACTTTTTCTTCAAGAGTTAATTCAGTAACTTTTTCCATTTTTAAAATGATTTACAGAACATGAGTGTATGCACTTCTTGCTTTAATATCACACTTTCACTTGCATATTTAAATGCTTTATTCACGTTTCTAAACTTTTGCAACACATTACCAGTTTTTCTATATTTTTAAAACATTAACTTGAACAAGATCAAACCAATAGCATAAATTAAATTACTTCAAGGAAAATGTTTAAGACAAATTTTTATGAAGCATGCATGTAATTTCAATAAAACTAACACTCACAAAAAAGGTTTATATACTTAACATTTCCCTTAACAATTATATAGACAATAATTGATTGTTAGCTGAAGTGTTTCTAAACTTTTGGAAAGTAGTTTTACTGCAATTGTGTTACAGTAATAGCCATAAAGATGTTAAAAAAAAAGTGAAATGTCTTGACAAAGCCTATAGACATTAATTAGGGAAATTCACAAAAATTCGGGAATCCTACATTTTAAAAATTTAAATTGGAATGTTGTTTGCTTTGCTTCTCTGATTCACTTGTAACACTGCTGCCAACTTACATGGTTATGTGCTTGCAGTAGGCAGAAGTCAGCTTCACTTACTGATGCACAGATTCTATTTTTACAAAAACTCGAAACCAAGACAGAGCTTTTAAAAAAAACCAAAGAAAAAAAACACCTCTGTTTTTATTTCAAAACTCTCTTTGATTTTATTTAATGAGTGAAATTTCACATAGGCTGAAATTAAAACAAAATATTCACTTATTCCCCAACAGAAAATTTTCAAAATGCAGTTTATTAACTGCATTTGAAAACTTTTTCTGAATTGCCTCAAGCTAAATAGCTGTTTTATCATCATTTTATAAACATTATTTTTCTTTATTTTTCATATACATATTTTGACATCAGTATTTTCTATTTCATAATAAATTTTAAATTATTATAAAAATATAATTATGTTTAAAAAAAAATAACAGTAATAGTAATAATAATAATGAAAATATTATTCAAATATAAACATCCATTAATTTGCTTTTTCATTAAGGCCAATCTATCTGCTGAATTATAATAGGGCAGATCATTTGACCCCACATTATTACTATACTAGCATTGTAAGATAAATTTTCTCTTAATTTTGCACATATGTATGTTTAAATAAAGTTAAAACCTTAATGACATTACATCTTCAAACATCACACAAGAACTGCTTTATTTCATTTTTTTTTCTTCAATACATATTTATCCTCAAGCATTTTCAGAATTATTTAGCCCCTCATCACATAAGGCCATAATGAACAAACTTGCACAAAAAAATTTAAAAATAAACTACAATAAACATTTTGAAATACTTTAAATTCAATAGTAGATAAAATGTCTATCTCTAGTAAAGCATTGTCTACAAATATTAGATACCGGTAATCAGAAATTTTTCTTTAAATTTAAACAGTATTTTTACAAATTAACACATAGCTATAACAAAAATTTGAAACTAAATTATAATCAATGTATTTTCATTACAAAAATCTTTTAAACCAAAAAAAAATAATAATAATAATGACATATAATGAATATCTCTGTCCAAAAGTATTAATAAATTCACATTTTCTAGAAATATTTACTCATTAAATGCAAATTTTAATTTATTAAATAACTAATTTTGTAAATCCATTATTAATATACTAAAAACACAATTTAGCATTCAGCAATTAAAATATTTATAATCAAATTGCAAGAATCCTGTTTTGATAACATTATAAAGTAGTACTGTACACTAAATGTACTAACAAAACAGATATCATACAAAATCTCACATTGAAGTAAGTTTATGCACAGGTTCTTTCAATTGCTACCAACACAGATAAAGGAAATTTATTTCTCATATATAAATTTTAGTTATTGTAGGCCATTACACATACTGTATATAGGTCTACTACCAAGTAAACTGATATAACACACTCTAAACAGTATTTAAATGCACCTAGTTATAGGTATCATCAAGCACACTAACCTCTGTGTAAATTTATTTTTCCGTTCTGTTATTAATTATATTTTTACTTTTATACTTTTAAAAAGTATTAACAAAGTGATAGCTAAGCTGGGAATAAATAGTTACTTTTTATAGTCAACAAAATAACAAATTTACATTATGTTGAAAAATGTTTATTTTTTTTGGCTAGAAAGGTTCTGAAATAAAATGGAATTTTTGTTTAATGGTTGTATAATTATTATAAAATGATAATGTTAAATGGTAGAGAATTGTTTTGGTATAAAATATGGAATGTCATAATAGTAAATTATGTCTACAGGTTATCGACTTGCAATAGGTTGGGTGTTCTTTCCTATGTGAATAGTACTCATAATACGCTGTCATTAATTGAGAAAATCATGAAGATTATAGCATTGGAAAAACTGAAAGGCAAATTGTGAAATTATAATTTATTTTTTAAACAAAAATTTTACAATGTGTTGAGGCAACAAAGAAAAAAACATTGATCTATGATGTTACTGGGGAGAAGATTAAACACATTTGTAGAAATTTGTTATAATATACTTTTTAATATATGCAAAAATAAGAAAACTATTTATTCCTTTTCTCTATTTTTTTCCTGACTTAGTTCATACTTAAAGAAAAGATTTAAATAAATTTCTAGAGCGAGTTTTTTTTTCCCTTAAAATACTAAATTATAGTTTTAGTATTTTAGAAAAAAAGAACTCTAGAAAGTTATTTAAATCTTTTAAGTATGAACTAGTCACAAGTAAAATTAAACTATGCTCTAGTATAACTGTAAAATGATTTATTTTACAATTTTATATATTTATTTGCCATATTGTTTATGTTGTGAACACCTTGCTACTGGAATCATATGGATGTGTAGTTACAACTTGAAAAATTATAATTATATTTTTTCCTAACAAAAGAGACTATTAACAGTGAACAGATGAACAAACTGTAATAAATGAAATTATTCTAGAGCAGCGATTCCCAACCTGTGGTACGCGTACCTCTAGGGGTACGTGATAGGTTGTTTAGGGGTACAGAAAAAAGTTAGTTATTATGGCANCTGCCCTGTGGGCACTAAGAGGGCCTCTTTTTGCAAGCCCATTATGGGTTCAGCCAGGCCCACAATGCAGCTGCTGGGTGGGGATGGGGCCCGACATATCGGAATGGACCACCCCCCAAAAAATTCCTGGACCCGTTCGGATTTGAACCAGGTCCCCCAGAGTGGTAGGCTGCCACCTTGACTGCTTGGCCATCTGGCCGCTACAGAAACGATTTATCACACATCTACTGTATATGAGCTACAAAATAAATAAATAAAAATAAATTTTATCAAACGATGAGATCAGCTAATTAATTGTATCGTGTATTATATTTTATATCCCAAGGAAAATACTGTAGATCTACAGTAAAATAAATTTTGTTTTCCCACAGTTAAACTTCGCTGCTAATTGCTGTTGTGATAACTTTAACATGATCTTCTAACGACAGCACTTTGCATTTCTTTCGTTTTTCAGACAATTTCGAACAAACTGAAATTAATTTCCTTTATTGCTATACCAATTCATTTGTGACCTCTTGGATCGGCACCTCCTTAGTGCCCTGTCAGGATTGACACCACTGTGTTTATCGGAACACGAAAGCCAAGATGGTAATTTCCACATCACTCTGTCACGCGAGCGGTCCCGTAAGTGGTCAGACGGATTCGTAATGTCAGCCGATCAAGAGACAGCATAGGGAAGTGACTCGAACTACAATTAACATTTAACAAGGATTTAATTGAAAATAAATTGGATAAGATACAGAATGCTAAGTTTGTGCCATGGAGAGAGAGAATTCACATAACGAGCACAAGTTGTATAAATACCTGGTGATAGAAGATTGGAGTTCTAATTGGGTGATAATAGTTCGATGGGGAGTAGTTCCATTATAATATCCACTAGCACTATGATGGCACAAGTTATCCAAAATGGGCACGATATTCCTGGAGTAATCGGTGCGGTTATCCTTTGACGGAGGACAGACGACTGACTTGTTTCAGCTGTCTCTGGCAATACCACCACCAATTTCAGCCGTGCAGAGGTTAATAGTTCACGAGAAAGTGTCATGTTGCCTTCAAGAAAACGTAACGGGAGACTTCCTCAGGTAGCTACGAACAACAATCGTTATGTCTCTCGAACAATGTTAATAATAAAGACTAGTTCTAATATAGGAATTTCTTGCTATCTCACACATTAACACCTGCACATAATTTCAAGGGTGGGAGAAGGGGAAAACCTTGTTGAACAATAGTTTAGACCAGATATATTCTTGGAAGTGGTCGCTTATTACAGTTATTGTATGTTGTTTCGGACCAAAAATCGATGCCCGCGGTTGCGTTACCTGTATTAAACGACCACCTGTGTAACTTATACGAAGACTCTATGGATAAACTATGGTGCCAGAAATTTTTGCCCATTTTGACAGGTGCCCGTTGAATGAAGGTGGTCGCCTAAGCAGTTTTCAGTGTAATTAATTAGCTCATAATATATATTTTTAATAATGAAAATAATTTAAATACATTATTTTAGTTTTAACAAGGGTTTAACTGTATTTAAAGAATGATGTACAAGAAGATATATTTTAACCATCAAATATTTTAAAATTTCAATTAATATGCTGTTATTATTGCTTAATAATTAATAATAATTATAATAATTAATGTTATAAAAATATCTTTTTTACTCCATTAATTATTTTATTTATTTTATTATTATTTATTCAATTGTAAATTTATTTTAAAAAATTTCAAGCAACTTTCATCTAAAGAAAACTGGTTCCCATTTTACAATGGAAGAAATTAATTTAATTTCTTTCACATGTAAAAAGTTTCAATTAGTTTTCTTTGCAGTAGTAAATATTAATTTCATTTTCTAAAATGCACAGTTTTGCATTTGGTTACTTATCATCAATGTATGTTTTGGATAAAGTTTAGAGAATAATATATCATCAAAAATATATGTAAAAAAACTTACTTTTATGTTTTTTTGAAATGTTGTGAGGAAGTTTTCCTTCTTTCTGTAATGCTTTATCATCTTTCTCTTTTTTATGATATTCAAAATTTGCAGACTCAGAACTATTTTCAGACTTTTTATTAGTTGTTGGCAACTTGTGTGTATCTTCTTTTGGAATGCTTTTTTCATATGCACTTTGTGATAATGAATTTAACTTTGATTCTTTATTCAAAATTTTTGAATCAGAGTTTCGAGTAACTTCAGCTGAATGATAACTAACCAACCTAATTAAAATTACAAAATAAAATCAATAACTAAATAATAGCAATATAATATTCTAAAATAGAGATAATATACATCTTTAAAAAAACAATAAGGAATATAAATTACTTTATATTGTATTTAATACTATTTCTAAGGTTAGTTTGTTGTCTAATCCTAATAAATATGTTTATCTGAAGAAGTAATCAAACTTTGTTTTATTGGCACTTCTAACTAATAAACATGCACTTCTCAATTTTATGGCTTATTCATTGAGTTTTGAACTCATTCTTCAAAAAAACAAAAATTAATTAATTGTTAATAATAGTAGATCATAAATACTAGAAACTACAGAAAACACATACATACTCAAAGATAAATACAACACTCACAAATGACGCATGCGCATTTCGGTTTCTGTTTAATTTGTATTTCATGCGTTCTTTTTTTAGATGGCCATTTAAAAACGGTTGAAAACGTTTTTATTAAACATTATTTATTGCTGGATAGTTAAAGGTTTATTTTATTTTATTTATATTATTCATTCCAGTATTAGTTCTTGTTNTTTTTACTCCATTAATTATTTTATTTATTTTATTATTATTTATTCAATTGTAAATTTATTTTAAAAAATTTCAAGCAACTTTCATCTAAAGAAAACTGGTTCCCATTTTACAATGGAAGAAATTAATTTAATTTCTTTCACATGTAAAAAGTTTCAATTAGTTTTCTTTGCAGTAGTAAATATTAATTTCATTTTCTAAAATGCACAGTTTTGCATTTGGTTACTTATCATCAATGTATGTTTTGGATAAAGTTTAGAGAATAATATATCATCAAAAATATATGTAAAAAAACTTACTTTTATGTTTTTTTGAAATGTTGTGAGGAAGTTTTCCTTCTTTCTGTAATGCTTTATCATCTTTCTCTTTTTTATGATATTCAAAATTTGCAGACTCAGAACTATTTTCAGACTTTTTATTAGTTGTTGGCAACTTGTGTGTATCTTCTTTTGGAATGCTTTTTTCATATGCACTTTGTGATAACGAATTTAACTTTGATTCTTTATTCAAAATTTTTGAATCAGAGTTTCGAGTAACTTCAGCTGAATGATAACTAACCAACCTAATTAAAATTACAAAATAAAATCAATAACTAAATAATAGCAATATAATATTCTAAAATAGAGATAATATACATCTTTAAAAAAACAATAAGGAATATAAATTACTTTATATTGTATTTAATACTATTTCTAAGGTTAGTTTGTTGTCTAATCCTAATAAATATGTTTATCTGAAGAAGTAATCAAACTTTGTTTTATTGGCACTTCTAACTAATAAACATGCACTTCTCAATTTTATGGCTTATTCATTGAGTTTTGAACTCATTCTTCAAAAAAACAAAAATTAATTAATTGTTAATAATAGTAGATCATAAATACTAGAAACTACAGAAAACACATACATACTCAAAGATAAATACAACACTCACAAATGACGCATGCGCATTTCGGTTTCTGTTTAATTTGTATTTCATGCGTTCTTTTTTTAGATGGCCATTTAAAAACGGTTGAAAACGTTTTTATTAAACATTATTTATTGCTGGATAGTTAAAGGTTTATTTTATTTTATTTATATTATTCATTCCAGTATTAGTTCTTGTTTTTATTTATTTGTTTCATTTTCATCTTCATTTTCAGATGAGATGTTTTCTTCAGGTTGTAATTGTTCCTTAGCAGATTCAAGGATATCTAATTCCACTTCTTTATTATTGAGTCTTTCCCTTCTGTGGGATCTGTCATCTTCAGTTATTTTGATTTTGTTTCTTGGGTTGTTTGGGAATTTGTTGATAAATTTGACATCCCTGCTTGTTATAACTCTTTTTGTCTTCATGTTCCATAAAAGATATGCTTTTGTTTCGCTAGAGTAGCCTATAAATATGCATTTGGTGGATTTTTCATAAAATTTTCCTTTTCCTGGTTTCTTTTCCAGTGCAAATGCTATCTGACCAAAGTCCTAAAATATTTGATTGTTGTCATTCTACTGGTCCATAATTTGAAGGGTATGTCGTCTTCCAGGCTCTTTGATTTTTCTTTTGATATTTCTATATATAATGCAGTATATACAGCTTCTGCCCAAAAGTATTCTCTCAATCCTGCTTGGAGAAGCATGCATCTTCCCATTTCCACTAGTGTTCTATTTCTTCTCTGCAATGCCGTTTTGTTGTGGTGTGTAGAAGGCTGTTTTCTCATGCATAATCCTTTTATGTTTTAGGAAGTTCTGAAATTCTCTATTAATATACTTGGTTCCATTGTCACTTCTTATTGCCCTTATCTCTATTCCTGTTTTATTTTCTACAAGGGCTAAGTATGTTTTGAATTTCTTGAGAGCTTCACTTTTGTTTTTCATGAAATATATCTCACACAATCTACAATAATCATCAATAAACACGATGAAATATTTCGATCCACTCAATGAAGTTCTCATTGGTTCACAAATATCAGTACAAATCAATTCTAATATTTCTCTGCATCTCTCTTCGTTTCACTTCGGAAATGATGATTTGGTTTGTTTCCTTCTTATGCAGATTTCATAGTTGTCAAGTCCTTCTTTTCGTCTTATATTTAGTCCTATGACCTTTAGGTTGTTGGCCATGTGCCATATGTCCCTTTCATTTAAGTGACCTAAACATTCGTGCCACCTTTTCATTTCATTGACATTTGTTTGAGAGAGTTTAGATTCCTCACACCTTTCTTTCACATCATATAGCCCCCTTTAAATGCTCACATGTGTATGCTTTTAGTTTTCAGATCCATAATATTGATAGTTGCTTGGTTCTTCTGGAATAGTACACTGAATCCATGATCAGTTATCATCCCAACTGACAGTAAGTTGGTCCTTAGTTCTGGTACAAAAAGTGTGTTCTCCAATTTGGCTTGAAATCCTCCCTTTGTTTCAATTATTACATCACCAGTTCCTTTGATTTCCGTTGTAGATGAGTTGGCCAAGTTTAATTCACTTATGTGGGATGTTTTGACATTAGAAAATCTTGCTTTATCATTGCACGTGTGATGAAACACCTGAGTCTAGACACCATTTTAAGGTTTTCTTTCCCCTCATTTGCCATATTAGCATTATATGACTTGTGTTTTCATGTTATAGCCCTATGTGGTTTTCTCTTGTTTCTGTGCCAGCATTCTATAGCCTTATGCCCTATTTTTCCACATTTATGGCATTTGAATTTGGATGGTCCCTTATTTTCCAATTGCTTCATCCATTGTTTGTTTATATAGTGCACCAGAATTCTTCGAGTCATTGTTTTCATCATTTCACCTTCTTGCCTCATACACTTTTATTAGCTTTATTTTGAGTGTTTCCGGCAAAAAAGTTCCTCTTGTGTTTCGATAGCAATTCGAAATTGTTCGAATAAGTCCAGTATACTATATAGCAATATTACGGTTAATAGTTCTTCGTTTATGGAGATTTCCATTTCTTTTAACTTATCTACTATATTGAAAAAGTCTCTTACGTGATCAGCCATGTTGTCTCCTTCCCTCATTTTCTTGAGAAATTATTTCTTTAGTAGCATGGCCTTTCTTGTAGCTTATACCATATTTCTTGTGGGGTTTCACATCCTTTTCTCTGTTTTAATTCTGCTGGACTTACGGCAAGAATTATATCACACATTGCTTTCAAGTCTGCTATGTCCCATTGTTTTGCCGCCATCTTTGTACTTTCATCTCCAAGTATAATTTCTGGTTTCTTTCTTTTTCTGCTTATGTACTCCCATGAATCATTTTTGATCAGGAGTACCTTCATCTGTATTTTCCATATATCAAACTTTCTTTACACAGTGGTTCTATTCGTACAGCTAGTTGACTGGCCATTTTTTTTTTCTTTTGTAGGCTTTGTAATTCTATTTCCCTTTTATTTCCTGTAATTCTAGTCTTTGATACTTAATTTTCTGTTCCTGGGCCCATAACCATTGTTAGAACAATGATGAGGCAGTCCTTTAACTTACAATTAAACTTTATTCTAATCTAAAACTATAAATAAAACTTTATTCTAATCTAAAACTATAAATAAATATCTTACTCAGCTCCTTAAATAATAAATCATCCAACATCTGATGCTGAGAAAAAACGTTTATTTAAAGAAACATTAATGTTTCGACCTAATATGATAGGCCATCTTCATTTGCATCTGAAGATGTCCTATCATATTAGGTCAAAAACATTAATGTTTCTTTAAATAAAAGTTTTTCTCAGCATCAGGTGTTGGATGATTTATTATCTAAAACTACATATACTGTATATACTTGTTCACACATCCATAACTTGGCGCCAACCAAACAACAGTTTCTTCCAACCTCTAGATGTCTTACACAAGATGTTGCCAATCTACAGACATTGATACTCACTTTAGTTTTATATTCCCTAACATCTCATTAACGAAGATTGTCATTGAACCATTGATAAACTCATTGACTTGTCTAGGATTTCTGGAATTTGATTCAGCTAATTTTGTCACAAGAACTCAGCATGAGAAGTGTTTCGACAAAGTTTGTTCCACACTTGTTCACTGCTGATCAGAAAGGCAATTGTTTGGCAGCTTGTCAGGCTTTGAAAGAACATTTGAAAAATGATCCAGACTTGTTTTCTAAGGTGATAACTGGTGATGAATCATGGTGTTATAGTTACGATCCAGAAACCAAATGTCAATCCAGCCAGTGGAAAACATCACAGGATCTCCTCATCCCCAAAAAAGTAAGACAAGTGAAATCGAATCTGAAAACCACGTTAATATGTTTTTTTGATGTGAAAGGAATTGTTCATTCTGAATTCATCCATCCAGGCTAAACAGTCAATCAACATTGTTATCTAGAAGTCCTCAAAAGACTTCATGATGTTGTGAGAAGGAAAAGAAGGGCCTTGTGGCAAACAGAGAATTGGTTTTTCCATCACAACAATGAACCCACTCACACTGCACACTTTGTGCAGCAGCTTTTGACAAGAAATGGCATGACCCTCCTCCCCACCCCCTATCTGCCTGATCTCACACCTTGCAATTTTTTTTGTTCCCCAGGATGAAGAGGGAACTCAAAGGGAAGTGATTTCAGACAGTAGAAGAGGTGAAAACAAAAACGACAGAGGCACTAAGATACATTTCAGAACAGGAATTTTTTAGGTGTTTTGAACAATGGAAAAAATTTTTGAACAAGGTATTGAGGCTAATGGAGAGTATTTTGAAAGAGATTAAAATATGAAGTTGTTAAAATAAGTAAATAATTTTTTTGTAAATTTTTTCCTGTTGTTTTTGGTTTCTCCATGTATTTCAATTTAACTGTTATGTGTACTTTTTAACTATACTTTAATCAGAATGAAGTGCATGTTAAACAAAGCAGAAAATATCTTAAGACATTTAATTGTTCCATTTTCTCTAAACTTCCCTTAAAGCACTTATCTTTTATACTCAAACCCTTCAAATATGTTTTTATAATAATTTATAGAAAAAAGTTTTAAATTTATAACATTTCTCTAAAACTGAAACCTATCACTGTTTATTTTGTATAAATTTTTCCATTAAATGTTAAAAGTATTTTTCATAGTTATAAAAGAAATTTGATGTATTATATTATTACTAATAGCTTGGGATGCCCCCTAGTAGGTGTTCTAGCAGCAGTGGTGTCATTCCATGGTATAAATAATAAATTCATATTACAAATAAAAATAATAATATACTGAATTTCTGATGGCGTACCCTACTAAAACGCAGTCAAAAATGCAAAAAGGAAAAAAAAAATCACATCTAAAATAGTACAGTAGAAGCTAAGTTCAGGGTAATCCTTAACCCTCTCCCCGTGAAGGGAATTTTAAAAAAATCGCTTCTTAACGTGCATTCTCATGGCATACCCTACTAAAATGCAGTCAAAAACACAAAAAACTGCATTTATTGTTATTTTAACATTTTTATGCAAAAAACTGAATTTATTGTTAATTTAAATAATAGCTAGGGGTGCTCTAGTAGCCATTCTACACATACTGTTACAGATATATGGACATGCGATAAATAGCTTATATTATT